TCGGCTGAAGTTTCATTGGAGAATTTTTTCGGAAAGTTTTTTGAACACTTATTATCAACCATGCATGGGCATTTCATATTTTCAGCACCACAAGGACCATGCATCATGAACTCGCTCACACGTGAATACAAATCAGGATCTTCATTAATGTTTGGAATCTCGGCCGAAATATACTTATCAATTTGTTCAACAGTACGGAGTTTGTCATCGGAGTGCAAAAAGAGACATATATGACTATGAGGCAGGTCGCGCTTTTGAAACTCGATTGTATAAATAACTATAAGAAAATATTAAGGAAAGTAAAATAAAAAAATATAAAATGTCTGTAATGTAAATAGATAATAAATACAAAATAATAAATGAAATGTAATAATTTTGTTAGGTGTGATGGTATTTATAATATAAATATGAAGATGGTAAAATTGAAATTTTAAAATCAGACATACCTCCTTGAACTTTTCCGAATAAGTTTTTCTCTCGCAAGTCCTTAATCATTGCATCAAGCTTTATTTTAAATATCCTACACAGAATATCTGGCCTGTCTTCAGGTTTGAGATTTGTGTCTTTAAGAAACCTTTTGATTTCAGGCCATTTTGGATTGCATGTTACAGTTATAAAAAAATCTGGATATCCAAACCATTTACAAAGGGACATAGCATCCAAATAGTTCTGATGCATGTAACGTGCACCACCAGTAAAAGTAGAAGGTAAGATAACACGTTGTCCAGTGTTGGAAAAAGTTGTCTTCCCCTGATCTTGTACGTTTCGAAGATGTTCGTAGGATGCACATCTAAGATTTTTTTGTTTTTTCCGTACGAAAAAAGTCTCTCGCTTTCGATCATTGTATAAGCATTAACCAAAAATTGTTGGAAAAGCCTTCTTGAATTAAGAATTAATGAGAAGCTATTAATTCTATCTTGAATTATGTAAGCAAAAAATTCTCTCATTGTACAGTTAGGCCGCTTGCTGCTGCTTGAACTTGTTAGACCTCGATGAAGGATGTCTACTCTATACCCATCATCACCATACGGAAAGAGTAGTGGATACTGAAGAGCGAGATAAGAAGGATGTAATTCACTAATACGTTGAAGAGATCCCGATGAATTTTCCACAATGATATCTCTATTTTGAAAAGAATCATCAATGTCTCCAACAATTAGAGCAGCAACCTCAGATGCAGACAGTAGATTATATGTCCTTCCATCTTGTATCCTTTTTCCAATAAGGCGTAACTTAAGGTCAATGTGAGGATTGTCGTGGAAACAATCTCTCACCATCCTATAAGACTGAACCAACACATTATTCGAATCCAACATAAGTTTCAAATCGTGTATAATCTGAAGATCAACTGAATCAGAAGTTGATGTAGATGCATCTTGTTGTCGGCTGGAAATAAAATGAAATTTAAAAGTTAATAGTTGTAATGAAAAATACTGAAAAAACATAAAATAATTTTGATATGTGTGAATATGTACCCAAAAATTGATTGCCTATTTTACTCCTCATTGTCGGTGATATATATGTATAACTGAGATAATTTTGGTTTAGATCCATTTGAGGGTAACAGACTTCCAATTCTATGATAATTTTGACCGCCAAGTCTGAATATGTATGGAGCTTTTCCATTGTTAATGGATGCATCAACTTTCCCACCCATTGAGGTAAATGAGAACATTGAATTGTAACGACGAATGTTGTTAATGAAGTATTTGGATTTAGAATCTGTTGAACGATAAATATTTAGGTAAGTTGGCGGCGCTTCTTTAGAATCTGGCAACTCAACCTTGCCATAACCACAACATAGTGAAAAACTTGTATTCTGTTTATCTTTTCCTCTAATAGATTCATCCGTCCATAACTTTGCATTACATATTTGACATACAACATTCTGGTCACCATGATCAATGTAATCTGTTAAAAAAAATCAATGTCAAATATACAAACTATATGGCTATAACAATTGCATAAATTTAAGATAATAATTAATTCAAATAACTTTTTTTGTGATGGTTACCTTTTGATACACCTTTAGCTATGTTTGCATGGGTATGTTGATCATTAACTTCTCCGTCTATTGTCAAGTCAAACATAGGAATTGCAGATATGTTGGTAGGCTTCCTTTTTAATGTCTGGGTTCGTCTTGTTAAATTAACAGAAGAAGAAGGTTGAATTATAGTCGATGAGTCGATGGATTGTGAAGGGTCCAGTTAATGGTTTGGTCTAGGCTTTCATTGTATTTTGTTCAGTATGAGTTTGTAATTCATTTTGTGGGTTGTAATGTGTTTACGGTCAGGATGGGAGTTTACGGCCGTAAACACGTTTACGGCCGTAAACCCAGTTTGCGGTCCTGTCTAGTATATATAGTGGAGGTGTAGGTCTATGTGTGGTTGTTGATGCCATCGTGTTTACAGAGTGTTCCATCGAGTTCTACCTGACGTTTTTCTGAATATAAACGTGTGCAAGCTCGATTTCTTTTCTTCTTCTTCTTCTATTGTGATTGTTTGTTGCTTGATCATTGGTAAATATCCTTTTCAGGACCTTACAATTGGTATCAAAGCAAAAACCGGTGTCAAAGCTTCATTCAATCGAGTTTTGGGTTGTTTAAACTGACATTCTTATTGTTCGAGCCTGGTTTTAGTGTTTTCGTGGTTAAAGGGACTGAATCTACTGCAAACACGTGTTTTTGAAGACCTTCTGGGAGTTTACTGCCAACCGTAAACCCTGTTTACGGTTGTAAACTCAAGATCTTGAACAACCGTAAACTGTGAATCTTTAACAACCGTAAACTAAGCTTCATTAACCGTAAACGCTTAAACCGTAAACACCTCAACTGTAAACGTAGTTTACGGTCGTAAACACCTCAACCGTAAACCCAGTTTACGGTCGTAAACAGCTCAACCGTAAACCAAGTTTACGGTCGTAAACTCAAAAACCGTAAACATAGTTTACGGTCGTAATCTAATCATCATCAACCGTAAACTCTTTTGTGACTTTAATTTGCTTTAATTTCAAATGGAATCTCAAAGTCAAAATCATTTTCACGAACTTGATACTGTCATAGGCACTACTACGCGTATTCCAAGATTAATGTCTGCAGATGGTTTTCCTGAGTGGAAGTACAGAATTGAA